TTTTAAATAAAATACAGTTTTATGGCATAGCTGTGTACACCTATAATCATGACATTCAGGAGGTAAGAGTATCAGAAATTTGAGACTCCCATCATGAGGTCCTGTCTCAAAAAACACAGGCTGAGGATGTAACTCGGTGATAGAGCTCTTGCCTAATATGCAAGGTCCTAGTGCTGCCTTCGGCACCATGCACACATGCATACCTGTACCCTTCTACTTGTATCTAGCCAAAACTTGTGGATGGTTTTGGGGCAGTTGTGCGGAATCCAGTATAGAGACTTGCATGCACGTGGTCCCCAAGCACTTTAGCTCATCTCCTAGCCAGAAGTGTTTATTTTGGACAAGTATTATTATCAAACATAGAGGGTTCCTTTTGGTTTGGGGGTTGTTTGTTGTTTTTTGTTTTGTTTTGGGGTTTCTCTGTGTAGTCCTGGCTGTCCTGGAACTAGCTCTTATAGACCAGGCTGTCCTCAAACTCACGGAGACCTGCCTCCTGAGTGCTGTGATTAAAGGTGTGCGCCACCACCACTCGACCTCCTTTTATTTTTTAATAGTGTGATTTTTCTGCATCACACATAATATGAAAATATCCAAGAACAGGATGATGAAGTGTCTAGAATGCAGTGAACAACTTGGATGCCAAACACCTAACATGAGAATTGAGCACCACTAGAACCTTCCAGAGTCTGAGTCCCTTCCAAGTCCCAGCCCTTTTTATTAACAAACAGAAATCAGGCACTACCTTTCTTTATATTGTTATTTTCTGTGTGTATTACCAAAAACCATTGTTTGTTTTGGCCTAGTTTTAGAGTTTTTATGAATGCTACCATGGTGCAGATTTTCTTCTTGTGCTTGCTGTTCTCATTGGACATTTGTGCTTGAGCCCTCTATGTTGATAGAAAACCAATAACTTGTTCATTTCCATGATTTCCCTTTCAAAGTTTTTAATTAACACATTGCATTTACTTCTTTTATTGTTGGGGAGTAGTTGCATTTTGTCTATGTTTTGGGTTATTTGGGGTTAGTTGTGGGTTTGGGTTTGGTTTGGTTGTTTTGTTATAAGGACATGCTGTTGTGAAAATTCTTAGGCATTTGCAAAGGTTTCTCTATTATAGACCTGGAAGTGACAACTGTAATGTCAAAGTGGCCCTGAAGTGGAGTTATCAGCAGGTCCTGGGGCTCCTGCCTCATTCAAAAGGTGTTTTTATTTCTGACCATTGTGTGGCAGTGAAATGGCTTTGAGCGCATGTGAGATGGAGCACTGTGTGCTGTGTTCAGGGGCCAGTCTTCTGCTTGTCTGCTTAGTTGTTTTTCTTATTCATTTGTAGTTCTTTACATGTATAAATATGAATCTTTGTGTGTGTACTGATACTTTCTCAAGTTGAAGTGGTTTATTGTTTTGTGTGCTGGAGCTGGAACTCCAGGCCATGTATACAATAGACAGTCCTCTTCTGCTGAGCAGTGTGCTCCGTGCTGTATTTTAAAACCCAGATGCTTCTCAGGCCACTTTACTTAGATTTGATAGTCTTTCCCTGCATGCATGAGTCTTTTGTGCCTCCAGCAATTAAGAAATATTTCCCAGTTTCCAGATCGTAAAGTCTTGTATTTCCTCTTGAAAGTGTCAAGCTTTGCTTTACACATTCAAGTCCTTAGCCCAACAGGATTAGGCTTAGGCTTTTTGCTGAGCAGCAGAGAAGACCTTGGTACTTTCTTACTAGCACTTTGTTTTTTTCCTGTACCATTGTGAGAAAACTTTCACTGCCTAATCAAGTGCCATGAAAAATACAAGTGGGGTTTTGAAATTGCAAAGTATTGACACTTTTCACTCTCATAGAGTCACGTTATACTTGATGACCTGCAGTCCTTAGGATATCTCACTAAGTTTTCATAATTTTATGCTCAAAAGGTCTTATACTTTTTCTTTATATTTCTATGTTCCATGTGTACTTTGGTTTTTTGTTGCTGTTGCTGTTTTAATTGCTATGCTTAATGGTATCTTGTTTTAACTAGCAGTGTCTGTTTATTGCTGATTTATGGGGACTAGAGGCAGGAAACACCCCTCCCACCTAGCAGGAGCTCTGCAGAGATGCTGTTTTCAGTCCTCTGCCCTTCACACAGCCGCCTCTGATAGTGTGAAGTAACACACCACACCGGAGAGATGAGGATCAGGAGCTAGAACAGCATAGTCCCTGGACCACGGGCTTCCTCCTGAGACAGGTGTCTTCAACTTCTCTGCTAGGAACAGACTCCAGTCAGCTCAGGTTAACTTCTGATACTAGGGTCATTGTAAAAATGTTCTTTGTCCACAGATGAACGTGAAAATCTGAATTATCATCATAAAAATAGCTTAGCTGAGCCGCTTTCCTCCTTTGTTTCTTGTGTTAAGATCCATGACAGGAGAAAAAAGCAATTGTTTTCTCCTCAGAAAAGGTAGTTGTGAGGCCAGGTGTGGTGGTGCACAACTTTAAGCCGAGCTCTGCGAGACAGGCAGGCAGATTTCTCTTGAGTTCAAGGCCAGCCTCGTCTACAGAGTGAGTTCCAGAACAGTTAGGTATACAGGTCTACACAAAGAAACCCTGTTTCGAAAAAACAAAAAAGAAGGAAGGAAGGAAGGAAGGAAGGAAGGAAGGAAGGAAGGAAGGAAGGAAGGAAGGAAGGAAGGAAGGAGCGAGCAGTTGCTTCTCATTAGTTGACATTTCTAGAAATCTTGCTGAAATTCTTATTAATACTGAATAACTTTTCTAATAATTGTCTTATTCCACATTTTCTGAGAAATTAATCACATCATTAATTAATAAAGATGTATTGGTTTTTGTTTTCAAATCTGTAATGACTTCAGTAGAAAATAGAAATATATCATACCCTAGTGTGATATAGATGTAATAGTGGGTACCCTAGTGATGTACGTGATAATGGGCACTCCAGTGATTCATGATTTTAAAGAGACTGCTTTGAACTTTCCACATTGAAAATGCCACTAAACAAGTCCTACAGTTCCGGGAGGCTAGAGGTTTCCAACATCCAACAGGAGGGACTACAGACTTTTATAGAATGGATTTGTTGTTGACTTTGGCATCTATCGAGATGATACTTGTTTGTTTGTTTCTATAGTGTACTAATACAGTAAATTACATTATTTCCTAAAATTGAGCCAACCTTGTGATCCTGGAATAAGCCTTACTGCATCGTGAACATTTGTGTACATTGTAGATTTGTTATGCTGAGTGTTCGTCAGTTAGACTGTAATTTTCCTTTTGTAGACCGCCTCCTCCTGCTTTTGGTATTAAAGACATAAGCCATTATGTTGTCTCCATTATTATTTGCTCAGTTTGTTGGAATGATCTACTCTGGGTGTAAAGAAGACACCATTGAAGCCACGTGGGTCTCAAATTTTCTTTGCTGGAGGCTTTAGATAGATGTAGTATATTTTAGTTCTAAGGTTGTTTAGGTATTCTGTTCCTTTCGGGGTGTTTTGGCATGTTGTAATTTCCCAGGGATGCGTTCGTGTAGAACACCTTTCACAGTGGGCTTCTTACCAGGCTAACCTCAGCTGCATCGTGCAGACCGTCAGGGTCTCTCCTTTCTCCTCCTACTTTTACTAGAGATGAACTGGCTTAATATTCTTTTCAGCAAACTAATCTTATGTTCTCCGCATTGTTTTCCCGTATTCTACTTTACTAATTCCACTCTCATGTCTTTCCTCCTCTCTCAAACTGGGAATTAAACCTAGGGCTTCCCATATGCTAGGCCAGTACTCTCTACCTAGCACTGTGTACCCAGCTGTTTTTGTTTGTTTGACTGACTTTGCTTATTCCCCACTTCTTGAGGCAGGGTCTCAGAACCATAAATAATGTGCTTATGATTCTCTCCCACTGCCTGCCAAGAAGCTGGGACTAGAGGCCTGAGCACAGGGCAGCTTCCTTCTGCTCTTTAAAAGCTTTTGTTTTGAGGCCAGCCTGGTCTACACAGTGGATTCCAGGACAGCTGAGGCTACATAGAGAGACCCTGTGTTAGTGTTCAGGCATTTGTACTGGCCTGCCTTTAGGGTCCTGACAGGATACGTCCTCAGCTGCAGCCACTAGGGGCACCTCCTGTGTGCATTTGCTACCTTCCCTTTTAAAAGGTCGACCTTACCCGCCCCCATCTCTCTCTCTCTTCCTTTCTCTTCTGCCACTCTTGTCTCTGCCCACTTTTCTGTCCCTTCTCTTTCCTCTTCCTATGTGAGCTTTGTTACATGGCATGACTTCTCTTTGCAGCATTTTTTGAATTACAACACCCTGTCTCAAATAAATTAAATAAATAAGTAAATGAAGGCTTTTGTTGTTGGTATTGCTTCTTTTGTAATACTTTGCATTACCTGACTAGCCCATTAATTTTCATTTCATCTTTTCTGCTATAAATATGCAAAAGTATGTGTATGTAGGAGCTGGTGGAGTGCCTGTAGCTCAAGGAGCCATCAGTCCAATCCCCAGCACTACATTAAAAAAAAAAAAGAATGGTGGTACATTCAGGTAATCCCAGGACTTGGGAGGTAGAGGCAGATGGATCAGAAGTTTAAGTTCAAGCTGGAGAGATGGCTCAGTGGTTAAGAGCACTGTGGCTGCTCTTCCAGAGGACCTGAGTTCAATTCCTAGCAACCACACAATAGCTCACAACCATCTGTACTGAGATCTGGTGCCTCTTCTGGCCCACAGGCGTACATACATGTTCCTCACTCCATCCCCTAATTGAATTGCTTTCCTTTACCTCTGGACTCTTTCTTTGAAGCTCATGCAGGGTAAGATAGAGTTAAGAGGTCAAGCATTCCTTATTACATACAAATGAGAGCAAAACTCCAGAGCAGCTAGAACTTACCCTTGGATCAGCTCTAGCCCTGAACCTGTCTGCGTGTTTTTCCTTCTCACCAACCCACGCACCCTATGCCATGGCTTTCTTGCACTCCTTGATCATATATACATGCAGCTCAGGCCTGAGGGGCTCACATGTTCTCCTTTTCCTAGGCTCCGGCGCTCCAGTTCCTGCCCCTGACCTCCTGATGCAGATCAAGCAGGAAGGGGAGCTCCAGCTGCAGGAGCAGCAGGCTCTAGGTGTGGAAGCCTGGGCAGCTGGACAGCCAGATATTGGGGAAGAGCCCTGGGGCCTCAGCCAGTTGGACTCTGGGGCAGGAGACATCTCCACAGATGCTACTTCTGGTAAGTAATTGAGACAGGGGAGCAGATTCTGGCATGAGTTTTATGGACTGAAGGTAGAGGATGGGAAGGTGCCTAAAAGCATATAAGGAACTGTGAGCTCTCAGAAGATCTAGCCTAAGGGTTGCAAAGAGGGCTCAGTGATTAAGAGCACTGAGTGCTCTTCCAGGGACACAGGTTCAATTCCCAGCACCCATATGGCAGACTGTCATAAGGGGATCTGATGGCCCCTTCTGGCCTCTGAGGGTACAAGGCATGCATATGGTGCACAGACATACATGCAGGCAAAATACCCATCTGTATAATATAAAAATAAATCTTAAAAAGAAGAAAAAAAATCTGGCCTGACAAGAAGTTTTTCAAACCTTCCTTGAGGCATAGGCTCGCCTTTTGTTGGAGAAAGGTGAGTTGATAACATCTGACTTTTCCAGTGCTTCAGAGAAGGGAGCAAAACACACTGACTTCAGAGAGGCCAATGCACATGGACATTCAGAGCAGGGCTTTCAGGGTTTTGCTGCCCTGCCTTACCCTCCCTCAGTTTTCATGTTCACTATTCTCCCATGTCCGTGTCCTTCCCCTAACCCACAGGCTACAATTTCTCTTCCTTACAGGTGTCCATTCCAACTTTTCAACCACCATCCCGCCCACTTCCTGGCAAGCAGATCTCCCTCCCCACCACCCCTCTTCAGCATGCTCAGATGGGACACTGAAGCTCAACACAGCAGCATCCACAGAAGGTACAGGAGTGGCAGGAAAGGAGAATGAATGCCTGGCCTGGGAGCCTATTCTTACTGGTCAATTGTCCCATCCTTCCAGCCACCATGCACTGAGTCTGATCTTATAGCTTGCTGTGCCTTCTGCTCTCTTCTCCTTCAGAACTCTCTGATTTGAACAGCCTTTCTTGAGGATGCCGATATTTTTTATAGATATAGATAGTTCCTTTTGTGTAGAGTTAGCCAATCTATTCAAATAGTCTGATTTCTTGGAGGACAGGCCTTCCCCTCCCCCCAGGCAACCTGTGGCTCCCATGGCACAGATGCAAACAGACTGAGCTAAAACCACTTTCTAGATATCAGTGCTGCCAACGACAGCGGAAGCCAAAGTTGGAAAGAACAACTCTCACATTCTTGTATTCATTCTCTTGTTTGAAGGCCAATTATTAATATTAATAAAAATTTCTGTCATCTTTTGCCACCTGTAAATACACTAAAAATCCAATAACAAGCCTTGGGTTGAAATTCAATATATTTATATAAAGTCAAACAGTTCTATTTGTTCAGTAACATTTTGGTCATCAAGTAACTGCAGTTACTGTGTACCAGATGGCATGCTGAGGTACCTTTAGATGTGTTGTCCAAGCTAACCTTGTTGCCCTGTGGAGTTGGGCATTCACAGTGGAGCTGTGGTTAAGAAATGTGTCTGACAGCTGTACAGAGTCCCAGATGCCTCAGAGGCCAAGCTTGTGCTTCTGCATTATTTTTAGTACATGGCCATCACGTTCAGAATCCCTTTCTTAGAATAAACTCATGATTTAACAGCCAAAGAAAGGGAAAACAGAATCTGGGGACGAAATTTAGGGTTGCTTTTACAGTGGGGAAGTCACCGGGCCAGATGAAGCTTTTGGCTAGCCTCTCAAACAGGACGGATTGCTCGTGTGAGCTGTGGTGTTCCGATGGGGCTGACCCTTTGCCCTTTAATAATGTCCAGAATGATCTCTGCTCTTTTCTCTTCTCAGCAGACGTAAAAATTGTCATCAAAACAGAAGTCCAGGAAGAGGAGGTGGTGGCCACACCTGTGCATCCCACCGACCTGGAGGCTCATGGGACTTTGTTTGCACCAGGCCAAGCTGCAAGATTTTTTCCTAGCCCTGTCCAGGAAGGAGCCTGGGAAAGTCAGGGCAGTTCTTTCCCTAGCCAGGACACGGTGCTTGGGCTGCGGGAGCCCACTAGGCCAGAGAGGGACATTGGTGAGCTCAGTCCTGCCATAGCACAGGAGGAGGCCCCTCCTGGGGATTGGCTCTTCGGTGGTGTCCGGTGGGGCTGGAATTTCCGGTGCAAACCTCCAGTGGGCCTGAACCCAAGGACGGTGCCTGAGGGGCTCCCTTTTTCCTCTCCTGACAATGGAGATGCCATCTTGGACCCCAGCCAGGCCTCAAGACCCTTCAACGATCCCTGCAAATATCCCGGCCGGACAAAAGGCTTTGGTCATAAGCCGGGACAGAAGAAACACCCAGCAGCGCCGCCCGGAGGCCGGCCCTTCACCTGTGCCACATGCGGAAAGAGCTTCCAGCTGCAGGTGAGCCTGAGTGCTCACCAGCGCAGCTGTGGACTGCCTGACGGGGCGGGCACGGGGGCAGCTTCTACCGCTACTGGAGGTGGAGGTGGAGGTGGCAGTAGTGGTGGTGGCGGCGGAGGCAGCAGCGGAGGCGGGGGTAGCGCACGGGACAGCAGCGCCCTGCGATGCGGGGAGTGTGGCCGCTGCTTCACCCGCCCCGCACACCTCATCCGCCACCGCATGTTACATACTGGCGAGCGGCCCTTCCCTTGCACCGAGTGTGAGAAGCGTTTCACAGAGCGTTCCAAGCTTATCGACCACTACCGAACGCACACTGGTGTGCGGCCTTTCACCTGCACAGTGTGTGGCAAGAGCTTCATCCGCAAGGACCACCTCCGCAAGCACCAGCGCAACCACCCGGCAGTGGCCAAGGCGCCTACCCATGGGCAGCCACTACCACCACTGCCAGCTCCTCCCGACCCCTTCAAGAGCCCCGCAGCCAAAGGACCCATGGCTTCCACAGACCTTGTGACTGACTGGACTTGTGGCCTAAGTGTCCTGGGACCCACTGATGGTGGAGGGGACCTGTGAGGGCCCCCAACCCTTCTATGGTCCCTGCAGGCCACAAATGTACAAAGTCCCGTGTGCAGACAGCAGGGTGGCCAGAAAGCTCAGAAGCAAAAAGGGAGACTTGGCAGAGAATCAAATTTCCCTGTTGGTGAACTGATCACTGGAAAGAAACTATCAATGCAGCCTCCACCTAAAGAGAGTAGGATTCTGACTGTGAGACTGAACACCTTAGTAGAGTCTTAAGTAATTTAATTACAAACCCATTTTTGTTTTTCTCTTTAATTCTTGAGAAAAAAGATGGAAGATAGTAGCAACACCGGTTGAAGTTCTGAGGTGTACTGTGGCTTTCAGGGTTGTGTGTCCACCTTGTCTTACTGGTGTTGGAAAGGTGGTCAGTGGGAAGACCAGGCAAAGGCATTCCCAGCCTTGGACCATACAGTCCTATGGCAGGTGAGTTCCCATTCTGTCCAGGCAGCTGGTCTGAACCTTAGGCCCTGGGTGATGAGGGCACTGGGGCCTAGACAGCTTCCACTCAGCAGTAAGGACTCCTTACTTTCTGAAAAGACCCTAATGCCCAGCCCTGACTTTTCCCTTTTTGAGCCATCGGTGGTACCTGTCCAAGGTGGTAACATTCACTGTAGTAGTGACTCCTGGGCCTGGCTAGGAAGAGTTGTATTGCGCTGTAGTAGTGTTAGATCTGGACAGTGTTGGGCCCTTGAACATGAGGTGACAGAAAGCCAGGGCCACCCATCTTGGGCTATGTCTGTTATCCATAGATGCTTCTCTTGGCTGCCCATTGTGCAGTATGTTCGTTTTCAAAATGGTTCCACCTCACATTGGGAAGCAGCAGATGGGTGGTTCTTTAAAAAAAAAAAAAAAAAAAAAAAAAAAGGGCTCAAAGGGGACACAGCCTCTAACTACAAGTACTGTGTGTTCCAGGAACTGGGAAGAGCTCCAGCTGAGTCTCAGCTCTCGTGGAACACCAGTTTAGGGAAGGAGAGGTTTTTGAGGTCTTGCCCTCTTAAAAAATTTGTCCCACACAAATGGATCAGATCATCAAGACACAGAGAACGGCCTCGGCAGCTCAAGCTGGACGGCCCCCAGTATGTGTGCTTCTGCATGACTAGACACACAGGTAGTTGGAATGCCAGGTAACTGGGTAAGTGGCTTCCTCAGGCTTGCCTGGATTATCTTCACAATGGAATTAGAGCTAGGTCCAAGTTTCTGTCAGTACAGTGCTGTCCCCACCACACATAGCCATTCCCATTTTGTTAAAGCAGCCACTGGTCCTCTTCCACAAGTGGGTAATGACTCCCTGAAGAGGGCAGAGACCATGGTGCCCATTCAACTCCCTTCTGCGTACTTTTATTAGAAATAGACTAGTTAAGAAGATTGTTTCTATGTACTGTATATTTTGTACCTGTTTACACTTCTAATATTGATATAACTGATATTTTGAAAAACAAATGAACAGAAAACATTCTGTTAAAATAAAACCTAACCAGCACCAAGGCTGTTTGATGGATCCATTCTTAGACATTTGGCCATTTTCCCTGCTGCTTCTAAACAGCTTCTCTAGGAGGCCATGCCCCAAGCCCACAGCTAACACTTGGCCACTCTGGGAACATGAGAAGGTGATTTCAGGGCAGTTTGGCTCCCTGGAGATAAACTGGATTTTGGAGAGAGAATCAAGACCTACCAATCACATTGCTACAGACTGTAAATACAGTTTATATACTTTAGTTTACTCTGAGATGGTATTCAGGAAGATAGGATACTCTTGGAGAAAACTATGGAATATCAAGAAAATGGATGTAAGCTATCAAGTCCTCCCACCCTTCCTTGCCTGGAGAGGTGGCAGTACCTCTAGATGCAGCCTGGCCTTGCTGCTTCCAGTGGCATTTCTGCCATACTCCCCTCCACGGGCTAATCAGTGTTGACATTTTACCTCACGCTTTTGGAATTTTTCATCTTTGTCATAATTTTTTAAGGAAAAGAAAAATATTTTGGGGGCTGGAGAGATGGCTTAGCAGTTAAGAACACTTGTTGCTCTTGCAGAGATCCAAGTTCAATTCCCAGCTGTGAGCCTCCTGTAATTCTAGTTCCAGTGGCTCTGACACCCCGGCCCTCAAAGACACCTGCACTCATGAGCACATGCTCCCACACAGATATGCATAATTAAGAATAAAGATATATACAATTTTATTCTTCACTTATTTCATATTTTTTCCTTGAAGGACACAAGAATGTGACAGAGGGGGGCTGGAGAGGTGGCTCAGAGGTTAAGAGCACTGGCTGCTCTTCCAGAGGTCCTGAGTTCAATTCCCAGCAACCACATGGTGGCTCACAACCATCTGTAATGAGATCTGGGGCCCTCTTCTGGTGTGCAGGCATACATGCAGGCAGAATGTTGTATATATAATAAATAAATAAATCTTAAAAAAAAAATGTGACAGAGGGATGGTTCTACCAGGCCCATGATGGAGAATCCTGACAGTGCTAACTCTGCTAATTTGACCCCTTCCTTCACTTCTGGTCATCTCTCCCATTGGATGTCCCCAGTACTGAAAGCCAAGGAGGCCTACCCAGTTCACTGTACCCTTGCTCTACCCCAACCCCTCCACTCCTGCATGCAAAACTAATAAGCCAGAGAGCCTGGCCATGGTTCCCTAATAAGGGATTTCTCCATCCTGGGCTGAGTGCCACTTGCCAGATGACAAAAAACAAGATGGGTGAATCTGCATTTTAACCACATCAGTAACATCATGTAGTGGTGCATTCCATTATCCCAGCAACCAGAAGGTAAAGGCAGGAGGGTCATTGCAATTCAAAGCCAACCTGGTCTACAGAGTCCCAAGTAAGCCAGGGCTTTTCATAGTGAGGCCCTGTAATAAATAAATAAATAAATAAATAAATAAATAAATAAATAAATAAAACACAGCTGGAAAGTAACTATCATTTTTTAAAAAGTTCTTTTCGTGTGTGTGTGCTTATGGTTCATTCATGTGTACATGTGTGTACAGCAGCCTTCAGAAGTCAGAAGAGGGTATTACATTCCCTGGAGTTGCAGGCACCTGTGATCCACTACACTGGTTCTGGAAATCAAACTAGGTCCTGTGCAAGAGCAGCAAGTGCTTTTAATTGCTAAGACATTATCTCCAACCCAACTATGATCTTTCTAAACACTTAACTCTCCTACATCACTGAAAGTCTCACTGCCACAGAGGCCCTGTTCCATGCTCCCTGGTTGGCAAAGGAGTCTCCATTACCCGCTGGCTAAAATCTAAAACTGAGCATAGCACTTCTAACCCAGGGGGGGGGGGGGGGGGGGGGGGGGGGTTGTTGTGCTATCCCATGTTCCATTTGCATCTCACCCTAGACAAACTGAGCCACTGCTCCCACAAACAATATCCACCTTCCCTTATCCCCAGTCCATCTGGTACATTCCTACCTCCCCTTGCTCCTGGCTCAAAGAATTGTGCTGCCTCCCCTGGTCTCTGCCAGTGGAACTGACACCAGCTCTGCCTTTGTCCCAGACTCCTGTGTAGACTCCATCTGTCACCTTGTCCCACCCTTTTCTACCTTGTAGATGTCTATGAAAGTTGCCCATTTAAAAACACAACAACAAGCTTAGAAAACAAGGCCTTTTTTCTTTGACAATTGTAAGGCAGAGTTTCTAATTTGAGTGTAATTGACAAAGTATCCTACAATGTACACATGATTGTTTAAAAATATTAAAAGACCATTTAGACATTAATATATACTGTCCACTAATTCTATGTTATTTTTTAAGTGCGGGGGTATCAAGTACAGTGGCTCACATCTATTAATACCAGCATTTGGGAAGCTGAGGCAGAAGGATCACTTTGAGTTCAAGGTCAGCTAGGCTACAAAATGAACTTTCCTAGCCGATCTGGGCTGCAGAGTGAGGCCATTTTATACAAGGGGGTGCATGGGTGGGGAGCCACTGGAGGGATGGTTCAATGGGAGCACGTGATCTTGCAGAAGACCTGAGTTTAACTCCAAGAATGCTCATGGTAGCTCACACCCATCCATAACTCCAGTTCTGGAACACCCTCTTCTGATCCTCTTCTGACCTCCACAAGTACAAAGCATGCATAGTACATATACACACATGCATGCAAAACACTCATGTGCATAAATCTAAAGGAGCTTTTTAAGTAATAAATGCAGATATTGTGAACCATATGACCCAAACATATTTCTGATATGCGTATCTTGAAATTCTGAATAAGATTTAATAAACATGCTTTCAAATACAAAGCTAAGACAAAAAATAAAGGGAAAGAGTATATGCCCAAAATGAAGACAGTTGCATGCCCAAGTTACAATCATAGAAGTCCCTCTTGTACCTATTTGGGGTTGGTTGGGTCTGAAGAAGGGTACAGCCATAAGTCCAAGGACTCCCCAAAACTGGACTCCACAAAAACCTTGTCCACCATGTCATCAGCACACACGAGCTTCCAAAACACGGCTTGGTGCCATAGCACCATGTGAAGGTGAAGGTGGGTCTCCTGGGACACAGATGCTAAAAGTTTGAAGCACAAGAAGTTTACGTGTGAGGCCTCATCTCAGGCCGCAGGCAGGGGGAGCCCCTGTGACAGGAAGAGGCAAGGAAGCAGGCTTGGAAATCAGGAGCACAGCAGGATGTAGACCTAGCAGTTTCAACCAGCCCAACAAGGTGATCTAGAGCAAATGCTGCCCACTGAAGGCCTCCAACCCTAGCCCTAAATGACCAGGCCCCAACCGCCTGCTTCTCAGTCCCTGTCAAGCAGAACATGAAAACCAAGGCATTTCCCAGAGGTGTTCATGGGCAAGCTGAATGCAAGCCCTTAAACTGAGACCCAAGTTGTAGAGCAGCATGCCACAGATGACAAAAGCTTGTCTAGCTCAGGCTGGGCTCTGGCGTGGTAAATGGTGGTGCACACCTTTAATTCCAGCACTCTGGAGGCTGAGGCAGGAGGATCTCTGTGAGTATGAGGCCAGCCCGGTTTATAAAGTAAGTTCCAGAACAGCCAGAGCTACACAGAGAAACCTTGTCAACAAAAAAACAAAAAGACAAACAAAACAAAACAAACAACAGGACTTGTATCTGTTAGTACCATACCTAGCAGGTTAGGGGTTCAAATTTACATTATCCGAGGGGTTGATATTAATATATGGGCAGAAAAACTGGGCAGAGAACAAAGATAGAACTGAAGTTCCCAGGTAAAGCAGGGTCAACAACAGGAGGAACCACCCCAGAATACAGACCTCAAACCCTATTCAACATAAACACACACCACACATTACAAAACCAGAAGCAATCTCGCTGAGAGGTGGTGATGCGTGCCTTTAATTCCAGAACTCTGGAAGCAAAGACAAGCAGACTTCTATGAGTTCAAGGCCAGCCTGGATTACGGAACAAGTTCCAGGATAGTCAAAGCTACACAAAAAAACTCTGTCTCAAAAAAATAATAATAATAAATAGAAACAAAACAATCTATCAATAATAAGAAACACTAATATCATGATTGTATTCAAGAACTCAAATTCATATAAAGATACTCCTAAAGTCAAATGCTGTGGCTCACACCTCTAATTCCAGCACATGGGAGGCAAAGACAAGTAGATCTTTGTGAATTCGAGGCCAGCCTGATCTACACAGTGAGTCCAGGACAGTCAGAGCTACATAGTAAGACCCTGTCTCAAACAAATAAACAAACCTATTTCTAAGGATAATATGACTTGTTAAGCGTGTATAAAACTAACAGCACAAAGGTAGAAAGTAGAAAATGCATAGTCCATAGAAACCACTAAACCTTAGTCATCCATCTTCTATGCAACTGTGAACCCTACAAGCTACAATAAAACCAGCCTTGTAAGATGTGCCCACTGGTCCAATAGTGGCAAGAATGTCATGGGAGTAGCTGACCCCTTCTGACTGGATTTAAGACCCATTCCACAGATGGAACCTATACCTGGCACCATTATCAGGGCGAAGAACCTGTGGCTAGACAGGCCATAGGCTCTAGGGGAGAACGTACTATTACTCTCTGCTAACGGGACACAGCCTTAAACTGACTCCTAATGACTTACTGTTAGAGATTGGTGCGTCTCTCAAACCTCACCAACCTCATCAGCTGTTTCGTGCACAGCAATGAACACAGAGGTCCACATTTGGTCAAGGTTCAAAGAATAAGGAACTACCAAGTGTTTGGCCCTAAACGGTGCCTCTTCATCACTCTCTTCTCCTACCAAGCTTCCGGGATCGTGGTGGGAAAGGGGGTGAGGGGTGGAAGGATTATGAGAGCCAAAGGTGGTAGGTGACTACAACAGAACCCAGCAAGGCAGCTGCAAGTGTGAACTCACAGCGGCTATGAGGGCAGCACAATACCTGTGACAGCTCAAGCCAAACACAAGCCCAGCGCGGAGGGAGAGGCTGGGCACAAACCCAACCCTCGCTGAGTTGCTATTGGTAAATAGACAGTTGCCAGGACAAGGAGAGTTA